GATAAAATCAATAGAAAAGATGATGTCTGGAAAATGATAACAATACTTATTCGAATTGTAGGGATAATATGTTCTCCATCAATATGTAATGAGCTATTATTTCATTTAGACAGTCTAATAAAAAAATACCTTAGTATTAGAGTAAAATGTTTTGAAGTTACTCTTCGTCCAAAACATCATTACTTGGAACACTATCCACAACTTATACAAGTTTTTGGGCCACTTATGGGCGTTAACACGTTGTCATTTGAACACAAACATGTGTTCTGTAAAAACTTTGTTCGGACATCAAGAAATTTTAAGAATGTGACAAAATCCATCAGTACCTACAAAGCATCAATACTACCAAAGTGCATTGACAAAAAACGAAATGTTTTACAGCAGTCCGGTCATACAGTCTGCTAATACTCTCGAGGAATTTACTTATGACAATAATATAATGAAATGCCTCGTATCTATATTTTCTGTTGATGAGTTAAATTCGTTGCATTTTGGAACAGAAGTTATTTACCGTGGAACTCAATATTGTAAAGATCAATGCATTGTTATTGGCTGTAAGACAAATTTAGATATTTGCAAACTTAAACTTTTTGGCATTAAAAGTAAAAAAGTATATGCAATAGGGCTTCAATGTGATGGCATCCTTGACGATGAATTTCAAATTTATGCATTAAGTGTCAGTGATAACTATATTATTATTCCACTTTCAAATCTAAAAGATTACACATCATATTCAATATACACACATAAAGATCGTCCTGTAATAGTATTAAAACATATAATCAATTTATAAAATACCTAATTCTCACCCTAAATTATATTACAATATTTATGAAGTTATTATATTAATCAATTTTTTATTTTTATATTTACTTATATATATATTTTTTTCATTAGATTCTAACATTATATTTTAATATAGAATCATACCTAACAATAAAATTGTATATTCCTTTTTCTTGCTAAGTATATTTTGTTATTTCAAAGATGGATAGTTTTGATAGTAATGATGAGAGCTTAGAAGATCCACCTCCAGTGTCAACAACGTTTAGAATGCAATTAGTTCTAAATAAGTGTAGACCATATTTATCATTACCAGAAGATGCACCAATTTTAGTTGAACGTCTAAACGAATTAGGTGTAAATTGTTTGGATGATTTAAAGTTATTAAATTTTGAAAATGATTTGAAAGGTATTATGAAAATGGTCCAGTGTCGTCAGTTACAACTAGAACTGTCAAAAGGTATAATTTATTGATTAGCCCAAGCAAAGATAATCATAATTGATTTAATATGTTATTTAAAAATTTCAGATGTTACGATAAATGAAAGTATTGATACACAATCTGCAATCCATAATGTTTCTTCTTCATCTTCATCTAAACCGCAGTCAAATTCTGTATTTGGCTTCACAATACCGCAGTTCAGAAAATCGATACGAAAGGCTTTAAGGTGGGTTTACACGTTCAGTTAAACTGCGCAAACTAATTTTAGGTATTTTTGAGCAGTCAGTTTGTGCAAATGAACTGAGTAAATAATTTAAGTTTAGACGTTCAGTTATTGACACACATTTTTGTTCAGTTCTAATTTGACACTGTAGCAAAGATGTCGTCGATTACAGAACAGGAGCTCTCTATTCTCGCAGTTTGTGTAATTAAAAAAAAAAAATTAATACTTCAAAAAATAAACGAAAACAAAATAAATAAAAAGAAGTGGTCGAAGAATTGGTTGTTGAAAAGACAACAATTTTCGCACGTAAATTTAATTAGTGAATTATCTGGAGAACCAGATGACTTCAGGAACTATCTTCGTATGGACGAAGAGACATACAGTTTACTACTGTCATTAGTTTCGAATACCATTCAAAAACAAAATACAGTTATGAGGAAATGCATAAGCCCTCATGAAAGACTTACAGCAACTTTAAGGTTTTTAACAACCGGCCGAAGCTATACCGATCTACAGTATTCAAATATAATATCAAAACCAGCACTCAGCAAAATTATTCCTGAAACATATGATGCAATTTATTCTGCCCTTAAAGACACTTACTTAAAGGTAAGATATATAATTAATAGTTAATACCTATGTAGCTATTTAGTTATATCACTATAAATAATATAAGATTATGTATAATATTAAATAACATTAAAACACTTGATATAGAGCCAGTAGGTACAACAAACTCAAATAATATTTCATATACAATTTTAAATATCAACTTTTTAATTCAAAAATAAAAAGCTAAAAATAAAATTATATTCATACTGGGGAAACTAATTAAATATAAATATGTTTGTTATATTATATGATATTAAAATAATAAAATCAAAAACAGACTCTTATAAAAAAAAAACAATTGTTGCCTTTTGGATACACACAATAAAAAATAATAATTAATAAAAATCAGTATTAAATGTATTATGGTTTAAGAAAAATATAAAATAATACATTTAATATACCTATGGACTATAGACTCCTCGTCATAATATTATTAATACTTAACTAATACATAATTTTTAGTAGGTATATATTATATAGTGTTAAAAATTAATTATCTAGTGTTTTTCGTGTTTCTGTGTTGGTCTGTGTTGGTCTGTGTTGTACTAGTTGGTCAGAGTTGTTATGTATAAACGATTGCTGTATTTCAGTATCGGCTGAGGGGCTTTGTTGAAAACTTGAATAATTCGGCACTGACTGAAAATATTGAGGATATTCTTGAAGAGGAAAAGACTGTGTGAATGGAGGCTGAGGTTGTGCATGATATCTAGTTGATGATTGAAGGGAAGCTAAAGTATCAAAATATGGTTGATTTGGATAAACTGATAATGTGCAATGACGGTTTAAATTCCCGAGTTCTGCTTCATATAACACGTCATTAATTAATTTTTCCGCATAAATTATTTGTTCCTTGTTTATTTCGCTAAGTTTATAAGCCCATGTTTTCCCAATTAAATCAAACTTGTTTTCTTGTTTTGATGTAGACTCTTTAAGCCGTTTTCCTATTACCGATAATATACTATCACATTCTTGAAGTTGACTTTTTTGAGATCTTTTTGTTTTTGAATAATTTTGTGTTGTTTCACCATCATCGGTACGTGTTAAATGCGAAATCGGTGCTGTAGATTCAAAATCGGAATTATTTTGGACTGATATCTCGGTATCAAATGAATGATTTGATGAATTGTTCAGATTCTCTTCAGATACAATTGAATCCTAAACAAAGTAAATTGTGTACACAATTACACGTAATGGCAGAAAGTAATTAATTTTAAATTAAATCTCTACAATAAATATATTTTTAACTACCTACAACTAAATAACTATAAATAAATCGTTATTTTACGTTTAAATAAAAAATAAATAATATATTATATATTATAAAGTCATATAAAGTCAACCATATAACAATATAATATAATATAATAAATATCATTGCATACGAAAATTATTTGAGCGGAGACGACTGACATAATAGTACATATTACATATAATAGTATATTTTATGATATAATGTTTATTTACGCTATTTATTTTACTATTAGTAATTTTAATAATATACGATAGGTTGAATTTTCAAGCGAGCGAAATTTTATTTGTTTATCGATATGCATAGAAAAAACAAAATTTTAAAATGTAAAATATTTAAATATGAAAAAAGCTTAAAATGTAGATATTTAAATATTTAAAAAAAGTACTTTTCTAAAATAAAGTTACAATTTTTTATTACAATATTTAAAATTCTGTTTTAGTTTCCAAAGACAGAAAATGAATGGAAAATTATAGCAACAGAGTTTGAAGAAAAATGGCAATTTCCACATTGTCTAGGAGCGGTCGATGGTAAGCATATTCAAATTGTTGCTCCTCCGGGAAGTGGATCATACTACTATAATTATAAACATACATTCAGTATAGTATTAATGGCGATCGTAAACGCAAATTACGAATTTGTTATTTGCGATGTCGGTACTAATGGACGTGTTTCGGATGGAGGAGTTATTGACAACACCAAGTTTTATAAAAGCCTCAAGAGTGAAACTCTGAACTTACCTAAAGCAAAAAATGTAAATGGCAGTAATAAAAAATTAAACTATGTTTTTCTTGGTGACGAGGCATTTTCGTTAAGACCAGATTTTTTAAAGCCATACAATCAGAGAGAACTTACACTAGAACGTCGAATATTCAATTATCGTCTGTCGAGGGCTCGCCGAACAGTTGAAAACGTATTTGGTATTTTAGCGAATCGGTTTAGAATATTCCATACCTCGATTAATTTAAAAGTTGAAAACATAGACAAGGTTGTAATGGCATGTTGCGTACTTCACAACTTTCTAAAGAAACGTAATACCATGTCATATATATTAAATTCGGACATAGATGTCGAAGATAATGAACTTGGGACACTTACAGTAGGATTGAGATCAGATCAAAACAATTTATTAGATCTTCAAAGAGGGCAAAATAGACAAAGCTCAACTGAAGCAAAAAATGTGCGGCAAGATTTTGAAGAATATTTTAATAATGAAGGTACAGTTCCATGGCAAAATAAAATGGTGTAAATTGAGATGATTGTATATAAAAAATTGTATGAAGTATAAAAGTACTATATACTTTTTGTTGCATATAGTATTAAATAAAAAAGGTGAGGTTATTATTATATTTATTTTAACGACTTAATGATATTTCAAAGGTAAATTGATTAATAATGTTTTTGTAAATTCAACAGTTTTTTATTATTTTTATTTTTCGTTATTAACAGATGTTAGGTAACTATTATTGTTTTAATGTACATAATTATATTAAAGTATTTGTTGTGTAAAGTATTTCATAAATGAAAGTATTTATATAAAAAATAAAACTGAAAGAAAAAGTATAAATCAAATAATTAATATGTAATATTACATTTTATCCAAGTTCATTAATTTTAAGTTTATTAAAATAAAATATTTTATTTTAAATAAAGTCATTAGCTTGTAATAAATAACAATTACAAATGAGGAGTTAACCTATCTTTTGTATTGAATAAACATTAAATGAAAATATATTTGATAGTATTATTATTATCAATATATTAGATAGTAATATGATGTTACCTACCTGTAAATCATCCATATTACTTATTGTATCTCTCGGTATTTCCTGGTCTCTGATAAAATCAATTTCATTAAAATAAAATAAATGTGGAGTATATATATCCTCTTCGCCAGCTCCTGACCTTACAGAATCCTTAATTTTTTTTAATTCTTTCCGATATGCTGACCGTAATGAGTTAATCTTCTTAACCACAGCATCTCTATTTGCGTTTTTATCAATCTCCTTCATTTTTTCGATAAGAACTTCATATGCCCGATCTTTGATATTTCGGTTAGAATATTCTTTCGATTTAATTTTCCAAAGACATGGAAATGATTTATACAAATCAAGAAACTCTAAAACGAACGTTTTATTTTTTAAGGATTTTTCTGACGACATGACTAATATATCACGACTTGCACGGTCAAATATTGTACATGAAATAAACTTAAAAATGAAAAATAAGTAAGTATACCTACACTAGTAGAGACACTATTCATACAATAGTCTGCAGTTCTTCACGAGTATACGACACGAATGTACATGTCCTCACATGCACTCTATTGTAGTATTGTATGATATTTATGATTTTAAATGAGTTAATATATTTAAATCAAAATACTATATGAACCTACAACTATATTATTATTATACAATATTATAATATTAATTCAATACCTTTATGTAAATTTTATGTAAATTTAAAATTATTATTTTGTCCAAACCGCACAGTTATCCGTTTACATGCATAGGAAAACTGCGCAACTACTATAACTGTACAGTTTTTTTCAGGCATCGCCTGAACTCGCACAGTCCAAAATTTTGAACTGTGCAGTTATACGATTTTCATTTACACATACAGTTAGTTTGTGCAAACTTAAGTTCATGCAGTCCATTTGCGCAGTTTAACTGAACGTGTAAACCCACCTTTACAGAAAGGTTCATTACGTAATGACGAGAGACTTCATGTAATTGAAACGGTGTCCAACCACATGTTTGATGTTATGAGGTAAATTTATTTTTTTTGGAATTAGTATTAAATTATTTTACCATATTATAAATTATTTATATTTATATTTTAGTAATCCTGGACTTCGTGAATGTAGACAGGTTGGAAGAATGTTGGAGGGAAAGTTTCCAAATGCTTTAAAAAATAAAGAATTTGAAGACAATACGGAATATATTGCAAAACAACTTTTACAACACATATATTATATCAAACGAAAAGAACGACAAAAGCTGAAACAAAGGGGCTTATTACCACAAAATTATAGTACATCATCAAAGAACTTCAACGAAAAAAAAAACAGATTTGGAACACATCCTGAGCGATACGATCCAAGTTCTATACCAGATGGAGAAACCTTAAGTACTCTGGACCAAAAAAAAAACTGGTTAAAAGCTACATATCTGTTAGTTGACATAGACTGGAACCGTGTAACCAGGTAAAATATAATATTATTAAGTATATATATTCCAAGTCTTTCAAGAATTTGGTGAAAAACTTAGGCATTTTGCAAAAAAATAACGGTTTAAAATTATTTGCTAAAAGACGAATGGTAGTTAAGGTCATTAAAAAAATACTATTTTTAAATAATAAATATCTGTCCTATCCTATAGATAAAATAATATCAATTCAATGTTGTTTTTTTTTTGTATACTTTTATAAATCATAGACTAATACTATATTACATCCCAATAATATTAAACTCAAACAATTTTATATTAAGTTTAGATATAATTTAACACAACTTATAATATAAATAGAAATAATAATAAACGATGTTGGGAACTAATCAATACAGCATCTAATCGTACTAAACAAAAACATGTTATAATCCACATAAAAGGCCAATTTGGTCATTCTTTAAATATAAAAAGATGCAAATAAAATTGCCAATATTTTTAATAATGATTACACTAAATTAATATAATCCAATAGATGATTCCACAATTATAAAAGTAATTAATTCCCTAAAAAATAATACTACTCCCATTCATGATAATATAACGCCGGAAATATTAAAAAATAACTCTTTTGAAACCGTTATCACATATTCTAAATTTTTCTATTATAAACATATATAATTATAATTTATGAGTATTGTATCGTTTAATGTACATTTTAGTCATCTAGAAATAGTATTTCTAGTGTCCAAATGCCATTGAGCTCTAGGCAAAATTGTTGATAAACCTTTAAATTATTAATGTTCTATGCATTTAAATCAAATCTTTTCACAGTTTTATGAAAGCTACTTATGCTGCTCAAAGACAGATAATTTTAAATCTTGATCCAATTGATGCTATATTATTGGAATGGCCATTCCTCGGCAAGGTAATTTTTGTTTATAGTATGGATTCTATTATTATTTATCAATTATTATAAAAAACATTGATAGTGTTGTAAATTGTTACATATAATCTTAAATATAATGTTATATAAATATCTATAGGAACTGTTCCTGAAGAAGCATTTCTACTATCTAACAAATATAGAGGATACAGCAGTAAATAATTTCAAAACAAAAATACCTACAATGCTAAAGTTTGTCCAGGCAGAAGCTGAAAAAAAGCGGAAAGATAATAATCTGCAAACAAGATTAATGGATATAATTAAAAACCACAGTAATAATAAAAATAATTATAATGATTTTTTGACAATATTATTGTGTTACATGGCTATAATGAAGGAAAATTTTGAGCTGATGTTTATTATTTGAAGTAAGTATTAATATCTGCCTATAGCTTATCATTTTATTTTTCTATCAACTCATCTAAATATTAAAAATGTTTTGATTAAATTATAGGACACCTGTAGTCTTGATGAAGTGCAATCAAATGATAAAATAATATCAACACCTGTTATAGCTTGTCTCGGTAAGATTATAGTTCTATAAAATATATTCAATTTCTTTTCTTGAGTAAAAATGTCTCGCGCTTAGTCTCAACTTTCCAACATAGATATTGGATCAAATATTAATAGTCCGTAAACAATTTTGAGAAAAGTAATGCTATTAACACAGAAAATTCTTCTATGTTAAATAAATCTCTAAAAGCATTGCAATATATCTAATTTAAAATTTAAAAAAAAAAAACCTGTTATGGTAGAGATACATTTGAAGTAATTTTGGATATTTTGATTCTAATTGTAATTACTAATTGTTAGTTGTATGTCATATATATTATATATTATAATAATTAATAATGTAACAAATGCGTAGGTGATATTTGGTCGAATCCAAAATGCTTTATCTTTGTGGATAAACAATGTTTATGGCGTGAACCAATAGCATTGGAAGAAGCAATTTTGATTATGTTTATGTCATTTTTCGTATTCAACATTCAATACCCTAAGGAATTGGCTGGTATTTTGCAGTATCTGCAAAGGTAATTCTTATATTTTATGACAATTCCCTATACTAAATATTATTTAATTATTTTTAATCAAATGTATTTTACAGTTCTATGTTTGGTATAAATGATGAAGGAAACAAAGTAAAAAAGAAAACTTCAGCCGAAAAATTTGTTTCAAAATTACTAAAACTAATGAAGGATTATGACAGTTATGTTAAAAAGTGGACATGTTAATTTTTTTTTTTTTTTTAAGATATTTTTTCTGTTATGAAAAGGTTCTACAATAGTATACTTACTTAATGAATATGTGAAAACCGTTTTATAATATTATTAATGATATAATTATATATTATATTATATATATAAACTTTTTTTTTTTAAAGACAATTTATTTACAATCTATACAAACATAGTATAATAAGTAAGCCTGATGACAAATTTTACAATGACGTATAAGATAAGAAATAAGAATAGGAAGGCTCGGCCAGCAGTGCCACCTGACAAGTTTAAGTTAATATTATTATGCAGGTTTCTGGGCCATTGAATTTTTAACCTTCTGGGTATGAGATTGGCAGAGGATAGTTTTTTAATTAATGGATTGGAATGCGAGTGGAGCTTTGAATAAAATTTGGTGTAATGATATCTGGCCATGTTGCTTTGAGGGTTGGTATATTCAGGTCTTGGTGGAGATTTTTGTTGGTTACATACTAAGGGGCAGAAGTTATTAAGCGGAGGCAAATTATTGAAACAATTGCAGGATTTTGGTATTAGAGGGCTTTACCGACCCCATTTGATTCCGTAATGTATATCTTACAATCATAATATGGTTATGATTACTTTTTGTGTTTAAATAATAAATTGGTATTTTAGTATTTTTTAAGTGTAAATTAACAGGTAATCTTTATTACATATATTACATAATTTCTACCTACATATAGTAAGTAGGTGAGTAAATTTAAAGAATTTCAATTTATAAACATTTAAAATTTGAATGTAGTAAATTTCAACATGATAAATTACCATATGTGCAAATTTACGCTTATGAGTTTGTAAATTTACAAACTAGTAACAGTTGAAATTTACAAGTTGAAAGTTCATGAATTTCAACTGTTATACTAATACTTAAATTTACAAACTCATAAGTGCAAATTTACGCTTAAAAGTTTGTAAATTTAAGTATTACTAACAGTTGAAATTCACTCAACTTTTAACTTGTACATTTAACTATTAACCTGTAACTAATATAAAATTACAAGTTACATATGTTGGTAAACTTCAACCCATATTAATAGTTAAATTTACAAAACATAAAGATAAGTAAATTTCAACTATGAATACTGATAATTTTACACATCAAATAGGTTAATAAATTTCAACTTCACTATGATTGTAGATTTACAAGTAATATGTTGTAAATTTAAACACATGGCGTTATTAATGTGTGTTGCCACACATTTTGTGTAAATTTACATAAACATTTTTTTACAGTGTAGATAATAGTAGGTAAACTATAACTATAATATTATTGTTATAGGCATAGGCGTAATCTGGGGGGGGGCAAGGGTGGGCAACTGCCCCCCCAGATATTTCATTGAGGGGTCAATAGTGTCTTTTTGCCCCCCTGTCATAAGTTTAATTTAAATTTGTATTTGGGGCCAAATTTTCCAAAATAGTTAAAAATGATAAGGATGTTTAAACCATACTAGTAATCCAGCAGTGACGCCAATGTAAGAAAAAAAATTGTAAATTACTTATGCCCGCATTGCAAAGACCTAACTTCAGGTCNTTTATTTTTTTTTGAGTTCTTGACACTATTAATATTGCTTCTATGATAATGAGTTATATATGTCATTTTAGTTGCCCTTTCAGTAGTAAGTCTATTTCTACTTTTAGTGTGAATAGAGGAAAATGTGGAGAAAGACCGCTCGGTAGCAGCAGATGTTGGAGGGGTACTCAGTATTCTTACAGCTATATTTTGTAGAGGGCTACTACGAAAAAGACCTTTCCACCAGCTAATAGTTTTTGTAGACTCAGCAGAATCCCATATAAACTGATTTCCCCATATTCCACCACTGCGAGATCTGAAATTTGAAAAATCTTCCATAATGTTCGGGTCATTTTCTGAAAGCATGTTAATATAAGCAATTCCTTCCATTTCATAATCTGTACTTATAGGCAAAGATTCTGTTTTTGGGTCCAACAGATGAGCTGCCATGTGAATAGGTTTTATTGCATACTGCTTACGCTTTATCATTTGTGATGTAATAAAAGTTTTTTCAAGCTTTGTCAACATTGCAGTACGTTCTAATACACTTTTAATTGCCAACTCAATATCATTAAAGCATGAATAACTTAAACTTATAATAGATTCATCATTTTCCATCCTTATTACCCAAGTAACAATAGGACTTAAAATGCAAATGATGTGCTCAATGTACAACCAAAATTCAGGTTCTAATAGCATACTTTTTAATTCTGTACCTAATAATTCTGACCCTTCTGTTAGAACAGCTAATGTTTGAAGACAAGATTTATTACTTACAATTGAATTTAACATGGTTAAATGTGATCCCCATCGAGTCTTAACTGGTAAACATAAAGATTTTTTTGATTGATATTCTGGTGAGTTTTGAATGTTGCGAAACATTTCTCCAAGGCGCTAATTTCTTTTAATAGCTTTTACTATTTTTTTAACATTTTGTATACACTGTTTCACTGATCCTAATTTAAGTATACCACAACATAATAAATGTAATGTATGGGACATACATCCTATTGAAGATATATATGGATATTTTTTTTCAATTAATAATCCAGCTTTCTTACAATTGCTAGCATTATCAGTTATGACACTTAAAAATTTTGTACTTCCGTATGATGTAAGAACTTTATCAATTTCTTCAAAAAGATATAAACCAGTATGAGCTTCTAACTTTGTTTCAACAGATTTAACAAAATAAGGAGTAGGCGTTGAAATAATAAAATTAATAATGCCTTCATTTCTTAAATTAGACCACCCATCCAATTGAAGTGATAAGAACTTTGAACTCCTTACTTGTAATTCAACAGCAGATTTTACTTCTTCATATTCTATATTTAGTAATCTACCAGACAACACTTTTCGTTGGGGTATTTTATAGGATGGTCTAAGTTTTTGAAAAAAGTTTACCCAAAGAGGATTTTCTACAATGGAGAATGGTGTTCCTGATGAAATTATAGCTCTGGCTAATAATCTGTCTAATTCATTCTATAAAAAAGTAAAATATAATTTGTTAGTGAAAATGTATTAAAATTTAAAAGTTCTTAAGATAAATATTAAATAATATTCTATTACAATGTTTGATATTAATAATACAACATTGAAAGTATACATTAATTATAATATGATTAATAAATAATTTTCTTGGTATATTAATATTTTATTCTTAACACTTAAATTTTAAAAAAATGTGTGATCATACTTCATTAAAAAATATAATTTATATTTATTAATAATACCATATTGATACAATTTTATATTATGTACTCTGGAAATAGTGTACTTAGGTTAGTAACATATTGATAGTTGTGTACCTATGCAGTCATTTTTAATTTTAATCAACTACACCAACTACAATGTCTATAAGAATTATTGTTTATAATTATTAATAATATTATTCTTATGATTATTTTTATAAATTAAATATCTAAATTTAATGTATATAATTAACAGACAAATTAGGCACACATTTAACTTTAGGTAAAGGTAAAGATCAAAATATATCTATAACCATTAAAATTATAGATGGCTCTATGTATTTTTTTTTATTATTATAGTTAGTATTTAAAAAAAAATTATATAATAGATATTTATCATCATAATACCTTAGAAGAGTCATCCATTCTATCAACAAATGATTTCATTACATCAAATATGGGCACTGTTGTATTTTCTGTATTATTTAACATTTTGTTAGTAACAACTTCATCTGGTGAATCTATTTCTTGACTACTCAGCTGAGAATTACTCATGACAGTTCGCATCTAATAATGTAAAGTTGCATTATATGTATAAGATTACAACAATACATATTTCAATTAATATGATATATTTAACAGGTAAAATACTTACCACAACTTTGGGTTTGTCAAATATATTAAGTTCTCTTAATAAAGCCTTTCTGGTTTCATGTGGTATTTTACACAACTTACTGTTGGTCAAATGTTTAGTCATTTTTGTTGTGTTTTTGTGGGTATACAACTGTCCGCAATATTTACAGTGGTAATTAATTTTATTTAAACAATCGCTATAATCAAAATACTTCCTTATAATATTGAACGACATATTTTTTTTTTTTTCTATAAAGCCAAGCTACTATTTTTAATTTAAAGGAATGGATTAAATAAAAATGTAACCATGAAGAATGTACTGTTATACGAAAGAATAAACTCACGTCTCACAATATTGAAATAATTTGTTATCGTTATCAGAACTATGTGTTTATGTCCATAGACATATTTTTACCAAAGAGTATAATTATTTTTACTTATATTTTAATAATAAATATATAAATAGACGGATTAGTGTAGTTGTTGTTGTGGCGATGAGTGGTCATGATTATTGCCGATGCAGTGATGCCAACAGGTGACAGAAAATAACGTATTAATAATCAGGATAATTAATGATGTTATTTTATCATGCTAATAATATTATACTATTTTACTACTTCGACGATTCGACAATTTTTTTAATTTCCGGGAATTCCCGTTCCTGGCGTTGTCGGGAATTCCTGGGAACGGGAATATTTCTTCCCGGGATCACTCCCGGGAAATTCCGGAAGTGCCAACCCTAGTGCGGACCTTTACTGCTCATTTGCCTGGTTAACAACTTGATCATCTTGCTTTTCCTCTTCGCCAGTATTGTTGAAATCTGATTTTGAGAGATCTTTTGTTTAGCAGATGACTTTGAATACTGAAAACACTGAATAGTAAAATTATTAATTAAATAGGTACTATAAATAATGTAAGTTTAGGTATAATTATGTAGGTATATGTAATTATTATAATTTTATTTTATAGGATAAAAACTACCCAAGTATAATTGGACGGTTTTTGTGAGAACGTGGTCAAGTCAAAAATGACAACTTTTCAAGAGACGATAAAAACGTATTAACCTAATATATTTCGATCGTTATATTTTAAAATGGTATATTATGTTTAAGACTACAAGTTGTTATGTTT